CTTTCACCGTGTTGTCAGTTTGACGAATTGAAATAAGTAAAATTGGAAAAATAGGATATCAGGTTGTTTTAAAATAACATTCTTATTTTGTACTTACGTAAAAATAACATTATACACTGTATGCATAACGTTATGTCATAATAAACAAGCTTTCCACAAAACGCTTCTGTAAAACGTGGTAACATGCGGCGTCACATCCGGAGGAACGGTCACACCCCACGGCATAATAAAGGCTGCCCCACACTGGACCAGTGACGGACCACGCATGCACGTGGGAGTCTGCGAGTGTACATACAAGACTGCGAGTTACGGTTTTGGCACAAGAACGTGGGTTATGCTGTAATCTGTAATGTTTTTTTTATCGTCTACATTGTCTGCATCATTTTCTTTTTAACACCGGCGACGTCGTCTGTCATTGCTCCGGTAGCTGTTAAAGGAAATAGTTCACTTTCCTGAAATTAGTATTTTGCTACGGATTTATGTTTTTTGTATGCTCAAAATGTTCAGAAAATAAAATAAAACCTTTTTGTAAAAACAATTATTTTCTATACTTAAATATAGGAAGAACTATCATAAAAACTATATTCTACGTAAAATGACGTTTTGACGCGGAAGCTGATTACGCGTTGACCAATCACATTGCGTGGTTCAAACCTACCCATGCTGCAATGGCTGTAAGCAGCATGCTGATTGGCTGACGATGACGTGGCTGCATTCCTTTCTAAGACACCACATTCCTGCGTAAGACACTCTTTTGGAACGGGAAATTGAATATCTTTGCTTAGGGTGATCGTTGGACCGTACAAGCTTATGATTTGTGCTAGTTAGTCTCAGCACAAGCTACAAAATTGCTATTTCAGTTCAAAACCCCATGTTAACCCTCGCCCGCACATGCCATTTTCCCATCCTAGAACGCACATGGGGGGGGGGGGTGGTTGCCACCCCCCCGCGCCATTTCGTTCCTGTTGGAGATAGAGCTTAGCGGTAAAGACCAAAAAGATTCTTTGGGAAGAGACGAATCCAATGATACCCAGTTTTACCTTCTCAGGTCAGTCATTGACCTTCCAGGTCAGGTCGAACTAAAAAATGTTGTTGTTTTGGGTCACCGCTGGATATCAAGTGCGCTGCTTATCATATACCGATGACGATGCCGTTTTCTGGTGCCAAGCCAGCTAGAACCTCTTTGTCACACTACCCGACCAGGTTTTTGCTGCTGAGGTCATTTCAGGTCAAGTTAGGTCAAGGTCAATTATATGTGTTTGTACAGGGTGTCCCATAAGTTCGTTCTCACATTATGTTTGCATGTGAAACAGAGTACATTGCGTTTTGGTATATTTATGAGCCCTCAATGTACTCCCCATTTAATAGGCAAACACATGAATACATGCTGCGGCATGCCAACCGGCATGTTTGGCTGCATAGCAGGCTTAAAGTTAACCCAGACTGACTTGACATGCGCCGTGAGCTCCTCGAGGCTGGAACAGCGCTGCGCTTCGACGAGCCTCAACTTCAGCATAACCAACAAATTTTTATGAAATTTTGATCCGATGAGGTGCCTGGCATGTGATCTTGCCACAAACGCCTGTCACAGTCTCCTTGCACCGCTTTTAAGCTTTGCTTGACCTGTGCACTGATGCACTGTCTTGCCTGAAGATGGGCCTACGACCTCCCGGATGCCATTTTCTCCTCTATAAATGTGTTCATACTCGCGGTTCGAGTTCAGCTTGAGGGCTGAAATTCCTCCTAGATGTTCTTGGGAAAGCATTCTGCTTCCCAAAACTGTTTCTGGGTTGTCACTTGTAACTTGATCAACTCCAGAACGCCTATAACCCCACAACACAGTGACCCTGGCCTTTTGCATAGGAACATAACGGGACGAAATGAAGGCCTCCTCCTTCGCCCTTATGGGGTTGTTTTCGGGTTTGGACGGATGTTTCATCTCGAACGTGGACTAGTTAGTCCAGATGACCTGGTTGATGTCATCAGCCCTCTAGTTTTGTTTAGCCTCAGGCATAACGAAACTCATGTTTAGCCATTTTAAGACGTTTTTGACTGTTTTGTGCCCTCCGGTAAGCAAAGCTTAAGTCACCTTGAGTTATGTACCCCGAAAGAACACTCTTAGACAGCTGGTAATCCATCCTGAAAAGTCTGTTTACCAACTTTCTAACCCTTTGACCTTTTTGATGGCCACTTTGGCGCCACACAGTTTTGGCCACTTGGCTCATTCCTGAGGGCTGGCTAGAAAGAGGATAAACTTGCAGTGATTGACTCCCAACAAATCATCGGCATCACTTGCTGACGGTGCGTCCAGTTAGCGATGGATATTGGCTACAGACTGGTAGGCCTCAATCACCCTCAATCGTCACGAATGGTCACGTGCTGACTAAATACTGAGACGTACCCGTATCGGAGACCTCTATGTTGCGGCGTTAGCCGTCTCTGTAGGAAGCGGGCTCTCTAGCAAAAACTATTTTGTCTACAGAAATTAGCTACTGTGGAGCATATTTCTACCAGCCATGGCAACCATGTAAGCTCAGTTACGAACCAATGTCAACGTGCCTTTAAGCAAGAAAGCATAAAAACGTAAAATTTAGGTGAGAACGAACTTATGGGACACCCTGTATGTCTGTGTGTGTCTGTGTGTATACTGATGTGTGCACCGATTGTTTATGTGTCCATATTACATGAAATCATGATCTGAGAAGCTTTTACCAAAAATGCAGTCAAAAAAACTCACAAAAAGTAAATTCCGCTTGCCTAAAACGCAATTATCTTAGATGACCTAGGTTGACCTTGACCTTGACCTTGACATCTGTACATCGTCGAACAACATGTTCCATGATAGGTGGGAGGTAAGACTGGCAAAAAAGGCCGAAATCAAGGTGTCAGAAGCTCACAAGGCCCATAACCAACGCAAGATGTTGAAAATTGGCCATTTGGGTCATGACATGACCTGAAAAACAAGGTCATATCTCCGAAACCAAAAACCACAGAAACTTGAAATTTTCAGTGGACATCGAGAAAGGATAGAGGAGCAGCTATACGAAAAATCAGCCTTCTAGCTCTAAAAATGTTGAGTGCAGAGCAGAAAGACTACCTGGGGGGGGGGGGGTGGCAACCACCCCCCCATGTGCGGGCGAGGGTTAACCCGCGCCCCAGTGGCGGTCTCAGCCAACTTCGCCCTAGTGGGGGGGGGGGGGGAGCATATGTTACCACCCACCTCTAATTCAAAAACTAAGAGGGCTAGAAAGACGCGGTAAAAAGTAGTCGATAGCTCTCAATGCGCACATTTGAGAGTATGTATTTTGGTCATTTTTCATCTTAGAGCAATATTGGGGTCACTGGAGGTCATCAAAGGCCAAAGTTTGCCAAATGTCCTTATATTTCTCAGAAAACATACATTTATCTCAGGAACTATAATAGCTAGAAAAACGCAGGGAAAAACAATCGATAGCTTTTGAAATCTTCTTTTCATAAGGTCATTATCAAAATTGACCTTAGGTCAACGGTTTAGCCCCCAGAGGGCAAAAACTGCAAAAATAGTTGTTTTTACGAAATGTGTTTTTCGACAATAACTTTTGACTTAAAAAAGCCACAACATTTCGATTGCCAGAATCGTATTCCTCTTGCCGAGACGCGTCGAATGAACTATTATTTGAGCTTTAAAGGTCAACTTGAAAATTTGACCTCAGGTCAAGGTCAAACCGGAAGGTCTTGACCGGAAAAGGTCTTGTTGCATATCATTCGATGCGTCTCAACAAGACAAACACAATGAGACCATCCCCAGCGTCCTATCTCTTTCCAATCGAGAGTTATTGGCAAAAATCTGTTTGTAGCCTCAAATGACCTCGGATGACCTTTCTAGAGGCTATCAGCAAAAAAAGACACCTTGGTTGTCACGGGTGGTCCAGATCATTGTGATTCTGAAATATTTGGACTGTTCCTATGCGTACACACGGATCTAGAGGCATTTCCATTTTTCTCCATTGACTTATAAGTAATGGTAAGTTTACGCCACTGACCTGACCTTAGGTCACGGATATAAAAAATCCGAGATATAAAAATTGTAGGCACCCATAACATCATGCAATCCACCAAGTTTAATACCTTTCTGACAAACATTGCAGGCTGGACATGATTGGAAACTTTTTTAGGCTTGGTCAGTTAACTTGACCTGGTGACCTGACCTGACATGACCTGGGGTAAAAAATTTTACACCTTGTCCAAAATTAATGTACAAAAAGCTACCCCAAGCGGCGTGGCGTTACACGCCGCGGTTTTTTATTCACACGCAAAAAACGCGACAGGGTGGTAACATATCCCCCCCCCCCACTGGGACGAAGGTTAAAAATTAACTATTTCCTTGTATGAACTATGTGTGATTTCAAGCTTTTACGACTAGACATTGTAATTTGACGTACGTTTTTTCGGCTACTAGTCGTTTATTGAAACGAAAACAATAAACGACTAGTAGCCGAAAAACGCATTTCCTTTAACTTTGTCGGACCGGATAGTGGGTAATATATCGCAACCTTTTCTGCTAGTAAAGTTTGAGAATGTTTGAGGTATAAAATTTATATAGCTTGTAATACCAGTTTCTTTCATTACTTCTTTTTTGGATCATGTTTCAAACATATTCTGGTCGTTGTTGATATTCCGTCCCAGACCGAACATCAAAGCTGGGTTGGCAAATTCGTCAAACGCAGATTAATTTTCAAGTAAACTATGCAAACTTCGAAAAAAAGCAGGTTGGCTGCACTGAGCTACATACATTCTGGGAACGCTTCCGTACTGAAGCAGATACTTATTGCGCCGCTTATCGGCAAGAACAAAGTCTTATCAGAGAAAACTCGCAGACTCGCACTTATGAGGACAGTGAAAAACATGTTGAACTGATGAAACTCGCAAGGGCAAAGTCTAGAGTGGAGCAGCCTTAGAAAACACAATGCATTGATGTCACAACAGTTACAGTGCCTCACATCGGTGCACCGACCCACCTGGTAAGACGACTCCTGTGGCGGGTCCCGGTGGTGTGTTGGAGCGGCCGGGCCGCCATCGGCGAACCAGCCGTCTTTGGTGGACCTGAAATAAGAGTGGAAAGGAATAAATATCGATCTCGTGCAAAGTTTGCATTTGCCACATTTCATTCATTTCAAATAAAAATAATTGGAGCAGACTTATCTTTTGAGTATAGTTTGAGGCGGAGGTGTGTTGGAGCACTGCAACCATCTCTCTGGGGAGGCAAGCCTGAAAGAACAGTACAGAGGAATTAGTAAACACAGAAGAAAATGGAAAAGAAAAATATGACATGAAATGAGAACAAAAAGCAATAAGAATTTCAAAGTATTGGTGGATGTGAGCTGATATGCCAGAGCCAGGTCGAAATTAGCGCAAGTTCATGTAACATTTCACACCATAGAACTAGTTCGTTCTAAACTAGCGTTCGAACTAGTCCTAGTAGTAGAAGTAGAGCTAGAACTAGTCCAAACTAGAGCTCGGACAGAAAAAAAAAACACTCATCTTTCGTCCAGGTGTGAGGCCGCCGCAGATTCCCAATCAGGCTGGTTCACCAACCCGCGAGCTCCCAGGCGCGCATGAAATAAAAACAACACTGGAATCAGCATACCAAATTCTGCAAATCCTGCCACACACAAAGAGCTAGAGCCTAGTGACAATCAAAAGTGTGTTTATCTAGCTTACTGGGGCTGCTGGGTGCACCGACTGCAATGGCCATATGGCGCCCAGATCTAAAGTGTAAGTTAATTGTGGTTTTAGGGCGCACCAACTGCCGTGGTCTTACGGCGCCCATATCTAGTGTTCTTCATGTGAATTCAGTTCACTCAAAGTATAGGTGTATGTCATACCTGTGAGAGATCTGGAGTTCCCGTCGGCCGCAGTCCAGTTTTGACCGGCAGATGGACGCTTCTAGTCTCGGTACCAACGGCGGCGCACGTACTGCCGCACATGAGCTGTGGGAGAAATGACACGATGTTATAAATTGAAGTGAAATAGCCGCCCAACCGCAAGAAAAAGAAACAAAGCATGAAGAAAAATACATGGTGATTATGTCGACGATTGTTTGATAAAGCGATCGCAAATATGGACTGCAATATGATTTACAAAGTAGTGTCACAGCCCTTGTCGCTGCGTCCCATTCACTCTATTAATTTGTTCATTTTAATTCAAAACAAACCAATGGCCCAGGCGCTCACCGTTCCCAGTCTGTTTGTTGACAGGTCGGTCCGACACAGGACCGGGGGCGCGCTCTCTCGCGGTGGCCGTCCAGCGAACACAGAGGGGTGGCGGCACCGCCCCAGACGGCTGATCACACAACGCAATGCTGAAACGACAGAAGAGGCATCGAGTCACTCACTTGGGCATGGGGACTTGGACATGAAAACACGTTGTGCCACATCAATACAATCCTGTCCATAGATGTCGCTAGCATACAGCGCCTGAAGTTATGTTGCGCCGCGTGGTTACAGTCTCGCTCATAGATGTCGCTAGCGTATGACGCCTGAAGTTATGCTGCGCCGCACAGCCTCCAGCGGCCGGTATAACACAGAGCTTTGGTCGACAAATGGCAGCCTTTTACATGCAGAGTTGGAGAAATATGACGGCCAAAATAAAGAAATGTTAGGTTGTGACAGCTTAAACCTCGCCCGTATAGGGAGGGGGGGGGGGGGTCGAACGGACCCCCCTCGGTTTGTCGCGAATAACTCGCGTAAAAAGCGGCCGATCGCGACGAAACTTCCAGTGCCCTCGAGTTGATTTTACACCTACCCTGAAAATTTCGTGACCCTGACCCAAGTGAGCTTTGACCAGTGACCTATTTCTCGAGACCATGTTTGGCCGGAATCGCGATTCGGCGTATGTCGGCTGCCATTAGCCGCGCCTTTGCAGTCTTCGTGGTTTCAAGCATTTAACCCGCGCACCGACGGGGGGGGGCGGATATCCGCCCCCCCTGAGGTTTTTCGCGAATAGCGGGAAAACCGCGGCGCGTAGCGCCGCGAAATTTGGTATGACTATTCCCTTATCAATTTTACACATGGTGTGCAAGTTTGAACCTCCTACCTTTCAAGGTCAGGTCACCAGGTCACTTTGAATGACCCAACCTCAAGTCACTTTTTTGCAACTTTGTCACCGTGCCAGAGCTACAGTAGATGTCGGAGGCCTTTGAAAGTCGCAGGATGTTATTAGGTCATTAGTAGCTACAATTTGTATATCTCGGAATTTTGATATCGGTGACCTAAGGTCAGGTCAATTTCGCGACCTCCCCATTATAAGTCAATGGGGGAAAAATCAACTCCCTGTTTTTACCACTAAAACGGGTTGGAATGGCCCCATATACCATACATGACTTCATATACGATCAACCTTCACTACCTTGAGGTGTGTTTTGCTGTTGGGCAGCTGTGAGGTCATGTGACGTCATCAAAGGTCACCAAAGGTTTTTGGCCAATAACTCCGTACAGAAACAAGATACAGACGCGTGGATGGTCTCATTGTGTTCAGCTCGTCAAGACGCATCGAATGATATACATGATGACCTCGAGGTCACGTGACCTGAGGTCAACCTTTGACCTTGACCTTTCGAGGTCAACATATATATCATTCGATGCGGATTGACGAGAGGATCACGATGCTGCCCTTAGTTTGTTCCTATCTTGACTAATTCGAAAGTTATTCGAGAAAAACTCTCCATATTTAGCGCCGCCATTTTGACTTTTTCGACCCCTGTGACGTCATCTTTGACCTGACCTGAAAATGACCTTAGTAAAAATTGTAGATCTTGACCGTGCGTATCCGATGCCGTTTACCGCTTGTCGCTATCTTGCTTCGTTCTCGAGATCTCAGGGGGGGGGGGCGGTCATCCGCCCCCCCCCGTCGGTACTAAGTTGGCGCAGACCCCCGTCGGTGCGCGGGTTAAACATATAATATGTTGGTCTAATGCATTAGGGTGGGTGTCAAGGTCACCTGAAGGTCAGGTCAGGTCATTGACCTTTCATGACCTCGGTTCTTTTTTCCGAGTTTTACATGTTTCAAGGCTAGTTTTTGCAGCTGAATTCGAATTTAGCAACAATTTGAACATTTACGAAGTAGTTTTGGTGCCTTCGTAGCATGTTACGAAGCTGTCAGAGGCAGTTGACACGTACCAGTAATGCCCGGCAGGACCCCTACTAGTTGACCTGACTTGACCTGGCCTAAATGCATGAAGACATCATCTTTGATCAAAACTAGCATGATATTCGTGATCAGTACCCCGAAAACCACCATGGCGACCTCATTTTACGATTTTCTAGCAAGTCCCGATTTTTCCGACTTTTGGGTCATTGACCTGACCTGGAAGGTCAACCTAGGATCTTAAAATTGGGTATCATCGGCTCCCTTTTGTTACGGGCAACACGCTCGTTTTTTTCCGCGAAGCTCTAGCTCGATCAGGGGCCAAACGGCTAGGCGGGTCCAACCCCTTATACGTTCGAGGCTTGCAAAACACCAATTCGGGCGAGGATTAAATATGCTGCCTTAATGTTTTAGATGCGCGAAAGATACTCATTTCTAATAAATAAATTCTAAAAGCAATTAAAATAAGTAAACCTACCTATGGTAAATCGTTCGTTCGTTTTCCAAGTATCAATACTTGAATACTAAGAATAAGCCTTCAAATTATTCAAATTAAGTATTAACTTTTCTAAATTGTTACTTGAAATAAACAGTACTTTTTAACTATCCTGTGGCTTGCGCGGAAGCGACTGCACACACGCATCAACAATCAGGGTGTGTATATTGATATTGATATCCATTTCCAGCCAGTGAATCAAGCGATCCAGAATTAATAAATTCCGGTCATAAATGAGTTTAATACCGCTGTGGGCTCGCCCTTACCGTTCAGAGGCGGCCGGAGCTCCGACCACGGACCGGAATCTCTGGTCGACACTGCAGCCGCCGGGCGGGACTCGGCACCGGGAGAAAGCCCAGACACCGCGGACAAACACTGAAACGGTCAGAGGGGACAGTCGCTCAGCCCGATTGATGTCACTAGCTAAGAAGCAAAACGGCTACCATATTGGTCTCAAGACAAGGGCCCAGGCGACCTGTAGTTCGGATGCGGTGAATACCCTGACCCTCGCCACAACTCGAGTGCGGGGTGGGGCTGGGTGGGAGGAAGGGTGCACTAGGCCCGAGCTGTGGCGAGGGTAAGGGTAGGTATTTCACCACATCAAAACTACAGGTCGCCTGGGCCCTTATCTTGAGACTAATAGTACAGTAATTCTTGTTCAGAGAATTAGCGCGACTTAAGATAATTCTTCACGTCTCACGTCTGGCCTAACACTCGCTAAAAAAGAAAAACGTTCCTAGCTCATTTACGAAACACAACACTATAAAACGCCCGAATTGTAAATTCTCGCTGTGTTCTTACCTCGTATCCGTCGAAATTTCTTCCAGAAACCGTCAGCACACCGAGTGCCGTCCGCCCTCACCGAGCGCTGGTAGCGAAGAGGTCGCGCGCGCGACGGCCAGCCGCGCTCCGGCCGACCGGCCGCCGCCCGGGGGCAGGACAGACGCAGGGGCGGCGCCAGGTGAGCGGGGTCGGGAGGGCAGAGGCAGTCACGTGGGGCGGGCAGAGGCGGCGCCAGGCACGACACCCGGGGCGGTAGCGGTGTTGGGGTCGAATGTATGCAGACATTGAGATTCCGGCCCTTGCCAAAGTCACTGGCAATGTTCTGATATGAAAAAACAGCATTTGGTTTTCTATGGGTGTACCTCCAAAGTATAAGATTATTGAAGGTCAAATATGCTCAAATTAAATGTATTTTATCACTGATAAGGGACGCTAAGGATTCTGCACTATCGGAACATTGGAACACCATTATTATTATTAATAATCCTAGTATCATTATTTTTACTGGAAAGTGTAAACGCTCCACAGCTGTGCTAAAAATTACTTTCTCGGCTCTCCCCTCGCGCCCCCTCTCATCCTTTATCTCCGCTTTCCCGCTCTCCCTCACGTTCCCCTCTAATCCTTCTACACTGCTCTTTCGTCTGTCTGTCTGTCTGTCTGTCTGTCTGCCTGTCTGTCTGTCTCTCTATCTGTCTGTCTGTCTGTTTATCTGTCTGTCTCCCCCTCTCTCTCTCTCTCTCTCTCTCTTCAAACGACAAACAATGACATGCTATTTTATTTTAAACGAATGATGCATCGCAGAAAACCGCTTAATTCGCCCTGAAGCAGAGTTCCGACCGACACGATGATTTAGTTGCGTACGACATGGTCGTAGTTCGGCACAACATAACACGTAACAGTAGTTTTTAAGTTCGAACTTCAGGCCACAAAACAAATTACCATACAACGGCCCGTATTACAGCTGGTTTATTATTCTTGCACCAGGTGGCAGCACTTCTTTTCCAAAATCAGTGCTTGTATTTCCAAAATCGTGATTTCCTCGCTGAGGAGTGAAATCGGCTCCATCGTTGTCAAAAATAACAGAACCGTTGCCATTTTTGGCACGTGTGACAAAAATAGCACGTGCTAAAAATGACAACGATTGATCAAACCTTCCACGACTGATAAGTTTATTCAATGCACGCCTCCATGGACACATCACATGTGTCCCGAGCATGAGATACGTTGTTTATTCAATACACACCTCCATATCCACATCATATTTGCCCAGTGCATGAGATACGTTTATTCAATACACACCTCCATAGACAGCACCGCACCTGCCATCGCCTTCACGGGCACTCAAGTTGTCATAACGTGACATCACTTGTCCTCTAGCTCACTTTTTCAACTTCAAAGTGACGTTTTGGTGAGGCGCGATGTTTGGTCGAAGGCGTTCGGTGGCGATCCTCCAGATCACTTGTTTCTGCCACAGAGTGACGTAATGATGCCCGATGTTCGGTGTATGAAGATCAGTGGCGTGTTGTAGAACTGTAATGTTTCAGCCGTACCGAATTCGTGGTGCACTGCCATTGGCCAGCCTGTCGGAGAGATGGCACAGCGTCAACAGACATCTACCAACATCGCTTGAATGTGTACCAGGACAACAAACAGCTGGTTGTCGATGATCAGGTACTTTATTTTTATAAAATGTCCTATAAACAAAACATGCTAACCCGCGCCGGACCGGTGCCCGGCGACTTCCGCGCGGGGCGGATATGTACCGTCCCCGGCGGTAAAGTACATACAGGGTGCGCCCGACAGTTCCGGAGGCTGGAGAGTCTATCGCTCCGTTCGTCGCTGGAAAAACTACACCCATCCCTGCACGGCTCAGCCTCACCGCGGTGTGACCGCCCTCGCCAGGTAGGTTTCGTCAGGCTCTGCCGATGTGACAGTGGTTGACCTGGCCGGCCAAACGCAGCGAGTTGAGCGTCTCGCCGGCGCCGTCCTCGCTCGGCGACACGTTCACGAACATCAGCGTCTTGCTGTTGGCGTCCAGTGAGTGGTGCAGCAGGTGCGTCAGCTTGGAGTCGCGGAGCGGCACGTGGTCCTGCCGTGGGGCACAAACGGAGGGCGGTCAGGCATTGGGCGGGGCTGGTTAAAGGGACCCTCCCACCTTCAAAAAAGTTAATGAATTGGCATGAAAGTGATGTCGCTCGGTTCAGAAAGAGCAAAAACGAATATCTACCAAATTTCATCGAAAAATATTCACCGGTTTTCAAGATATTAGACTTTTACTTTTGTTTACTTTTTGGGATCTCCGCTGTTCCTAGCGACTTTATTTGAAAGTGCGGCATTTGTTGCGCGCAAAGCAGCATATACCACCGCGTGCTACAAAACGTTTTAGTCAAACATTTAACGGACGTTCGAAAGCCTGATGACGTCATCAGATTCCCGTAATGGTTAAGAGATAGGGACCACGCTGGTCCCACCCTGCAAGTAAAGGGAAGAAATTTCTTGAACACCATAAAGCTGCGGGGGTTGCGACCAGGATAAATGGTGGTTTCTGAGCCTGGCCGCAAACTTGGCTATCTCAACTCAAAACTAATGTTAAGGTGGGAGGGTCCCTTTAACACGCGCAGTGGAAGGGTTGCGAGTACTACGCCCAGTGGAAGGGGGGGGGGCGGATGCCGCCCCCCCCTAAGATCTCAGCTCCCACTGGAGCTAGAAAGACGAAATTTGGAGGGTAGGTGGAAGCCATGGGGAACTCTATTGTGTGTGAATTTCGTGACCCTAGGTCAATATCTTCAAGGTCAAATGAGGTCAAATGTGGTCAAATCTGCCATATTAGCGACTTTTTTGCGTTTACACGCCGATAACTCAAAAAGTTACCGGCCGATTTTTTTAAAACTTTCACTATACGAAAGAGCGAACATTTGTGAGTATGTATGGTGAATTTCTAGATAATCCAACAATAAATATGGCAGTGAGAAGCCTGCTAAGGGTAAGATGTCGCCGGCTGAAGCGGCATCGGCCGACGCGGGAAACGCGGCAATCACAATTTTGTGTTTACACACTCATAACTCAAGTTGTTACCGGCCGATTTTCAAAATTCTTTGACCATATGATTGCCTGTACATTTCTCAGTCTTCTCACCGAATTTGACGCGAATCTAATATAATCAGCGGTAAGGAGCGCGATGTAAAGACGGAACCGTCCCGCCCCGGCACAGTCTACAATTCAGGCGGCGCGTAACGGCTAGCGCCGGCCGCCGCGCCGCCGCGCCGCCGCGGCGGCACGATGTTTGACTTTACACCGCTATTACCAGAAAAGTTGTGAACCGATTTTCTTAATTCTTGCACGAGAAGATCCGCAATTCAATTCTGGACAGGTAGCCGAAATTTCACATTGATATTGTGCTTGAGGCGCGAGTTATTGGCGAAAAACAGGAGGGGTGGGCGAAATCCGCCCCCCCCTTCCACTGCGCGTGTTAACGAATCGATCGGAACGGACGTAGATCACTGGAGCAAAACAGCACCAACAAATAGGGCGCTACGAAACACCGCGCCTTTGAGGATCCCTAAACCCAACATGCAAGCATCATCACAGACAATAGCGCTAAATACCACAACATGTGTTCATAAGCATCAAACGCAGCTATGTCACCATCATGCGCTTAGTATCTATCGGCAGCTCGTCACCGACCGGGCGAAGTTAGTTACCTACCGTATTTCCCAGCGCCATGGTGACGTTGCCCAGGCTGGCCACTGGCCAGCGACTAGTTGATATTCGTTGTCTCGGTGAGCCGGTCGCCCTGCGCTGCGGACTCTGAGCCGCTCGGGGCCGGAGCAGGTCGACCAGGTACAGTGAGCCGTGTCAGCGCGCTGCGCCAGTACCCTCACGGCGCAGCGTGAACACCGAGTGGGAGCGAGACGACTGCTGGTGGCAGTTGGTGGCGTCCACGGCTCACTGCTGACGGGCCCGCTCCAGCAGGGAGGAGAAGTCTCATTGTTCCACCACCGTCACCACCCGGTAACACAGAGCGGGGGGGGGGGGACAGGTGTCAGTATGTCCTATGTATGTATGCGAGGGGAGGGCCATTCCATTCAGTCATCCTTGCTTGTCTGTTTTTTTTTTTATTCAGCAGTAAAATGCCTTTTGGGGCGACCAACAGAGCGAGCGAGAGGCCCTTGCCGTGCGAAAGGTACTTTCAGCTGACTTGTGCACTGTACCCTAATAACCGGTCCGTAGCGATGTGCCAAATTTAAGCACAATCGACCTAGCCGTTATCGAGATCTGGTAACGACACCCTGCACGTGCGCACGTGCGAAATGGGTCCCAGACTCCCAACTGACATGAACGGCACCCTCCTAACCGCTCCCTAGCTGTTAGTGCCTGTTGGCATCAAATGGCTTTGGTGATTCGATACGATAGCAGCTTAATCGTAATTTAACCCCCGCCGGCACAGGCCATTTTGCGTCCTTCGACGGCACAAGGGGGGGGGGGGGGGGGTACGACCCCCTCGCGTTTGGCCCCTGATCGAGCTAGAGCTTCGCGGAAAAAACGAACGTGTTGCCCGTCACGAGAGGAAGCCGATGATATCCAATTTAAGGTGCTAGGTCATCGGGTGATCTTCCAGGTCAGGTCAATGACCCGAAAATCGGGAAAATCGGGACCTGTTAGAAAGTCGTAAAGTGTGGCTGCTATGGGGTTTTCCGGGGTGCTGATCACGAATATCGTGTTAGTTTTGATCAGAGATGATGTCTTTAAGCATTTAGACCAGGTCGGGTCAGGTCAGGTCAGGTCAACCGATAGGGGTCGTGACGGGTATTCGTAATACGTGTCAACCGCCTCTGACGAACTCACGTAACTGCTGTGATAATTTTGGTTGCGATAATTTTAATTATCGTCACCATATGCTTACATGTAGACGATATAGTTACTGGGGTAGGTTAGACGGATATCCGTCGTTATCCGCGCGCGCGTTATCCCTCGCACTTTTAGGGGTGGGTCGGATAAAACCCCTCGTTTTTTCGCGAATAACTCGCGCTAAAAGTGGCCGATCATGACGAAACTTTGGGTATCCTCAAACTTGTCTACGTGAATTGTTACACATCCGCTATACCTACAGGTCATGATCCTGAAACCAATGACCTTTGATCTGATTTCAGAGACCATGTTAGACCGAAATGATTTATCGTAGGGGAAGACGGCATGGAGGCGGCGGAAGGTAATTTGGGATGGGGGAAGGTAATTTCACACCTGATCCTTCCCGGAATCTAGGGTACCCCAAAATCTAGTTTTCTCACCGGTTTTAGGCCACTTATTTTTCACCCCTTGGCCTTTAACGAAAAATCGAAACGAAAACTTTTGCAAAAATTGAGATATTCCGTCCCATCTGAGTCAAGCCTTTTTGGTAACCTGGAATACCTACACGTTTAACACGCGCAGTGGATGGGGGGGGGGGGGGCGGATTTCGCCCACCACTCCTGTTTTTCGCCAATAACTCGCTCCGCAAACATAATATTAATGTGAAATTTCGGCTACCTGTCCGGCGCCAGCCTGAATTGTAGACTCTGCCGGGGCGGGACGGTTCCGTCTTTACATCGCGCTTCTTATCGCTGATACCGTCTTTACATCGCGCGCCTTAACCCTCGCACGTGTGCGGCGTTTGCCAGCTTCTAACGTGTAGGGGGGGGGGGACGTCGGTTGGATCCCCCCTTGCCGTTTGGCCCCTGATCGAGCTAGAGCTTCGCGGGAAAAACGAGCGTGTTGCCCGTCACGAGACGAAGCCGATGATGCCCAATTTTAAGGTACTAGGTCATTGGTTGACCTTCCAGAACAGGTCAATGACCCAAAAGTCGGGAAATGGTGACCTGTCAGAAAGTCGTAGTGTGGCTGCTAAGGGGTTTTTCGGGGTGCTGCTCACGAATATCGTATTAATTTTGATCACAGATGATGTCTTGAAGCATTTAGATCAGGTCGGGTCAGGTCAGGTCAGGTCAACCAGTAAGGGTCGTGACGGGTATTCGTAGGTGTCAACCGCCTCTGACAGCTTCGTAACATGTTACGAAGGCACCAAAACTACTTCGTTAATGTTCAAATGGTTCATTTCCAAATTCGAATTCAGCTCCAAAAACTAGCATAGAAACATGTAAAACTCGAAAAAGTGAACCGAGGTCATCAAAGGTCAATGACCAGGCCTGACCCTCAGGTTGGCCTTGACACCCACCATAATGCATGGGACCAACATCATATCACATGTTTGAACGTTTGAAACCACCAAAAGCTTGCAAACGCGCGGCTAATGCGAGCCGACATATGCCGAATCGCGATTCCGGCCTATCTTCGAAAAACCGAGGGGCGGGGGGAGGTTCGACACCTTCCTATACGGACGAGAGTTTAACATAGTAAAAATATATACTGGACGCGCATAAACATTGCTATTCTGCTGCTGCAGCGGGTTTTAAAATCGTCTATATCTCCAAACCGTCCATTTCTTACCAAACTGGTGCTTTTTTGTCGCTTGAAAACGAGTCGACCTTTCTATTGACAGCAAAAATTTCACAATATATGCGTTTTCAATACTATCAAAAACTTTCAAATGAAGTTGGGCATTTTTACGTCGTTATAACCGAAAGTACCCCCTGCGTTCATCACGGGTGACCTCACTCAGGATCTCAGGGAGTCTTATGGGGGGTGGAGATGTTATCGGGAAGCTTATAGAACACCGGACAGTGTAAGCAAGCCCAGACACAGCTGTGGAGCACCATAGAAATTATCGCACGAGCACACGGGCACACAAATTATCACCTGGCCGCGGGCCGACGCCCAGCTGCGCCAGCTCAGCCCGGCGACTGATCGGGCAGCTGCTTCTTCAGCGACGACTGCTCGTTGTAGTTGGTGGCGTCCACGGCTCGCTGCTGACGGGCCCGCTCCAGCAGGGTGGAGACGTTACATTGTTCCGCCGCCGTCACCACCCGGTAACACAGAGGGGGAGGGGGGGGGGGTCATTACCTACCCATGTGAGGAGAGGGGCACTCAGTCTCGTCACCGTTACAACGTTATCACACAGTAGCTGGGGGTGGCAGGGACAACACGCCATTACAGTAGCCACGAATAACCCGCGCCCCGCTGGGGTCCTGGATCTCCATGCCCTGCTGGGGGGTGTTTGAACACCCTTCTGCCTCGGCTGCTGGGCCAGGCCACGGTGCGATACGCGGAAAGTGGCGTTCGAAAGAGTGTCAATAATAATGACGAAACCACTCCGGTCACTTTTTCGGTCAGTTCCAGGGTCAGGTCACCAGAGGTCATTGAAGGTCAGATTTCGTTGACGCAGCGGGAACAACGGTCCAAGTGTGAATCTGGAGATGGGGTTACTGGCGCCCGGAACCTGCCGGAAGACAAGCCGTCAGTCAAGATGAAGACAGAAACGCGGCGGTGCATAGCAAACCAGACAATAAACTAACATACAAAGTATGTAGGTCAGAAGACAGACGTGGATGGAACCGGTAGCAGCGACATCTATGTAATTTGGCATAAAGTTTAAATAAACTGAGCAGCCCACACTGCCGTCACGTGGCCACACACGCGGCCGTCCAGGACTGACCTGCCGTCCTGGCGAGCTCCAGAGACGGCAGCGTATTTTGACACATGGTCGGCGAGCCGCATGTGTCAAAATATCCCATTATGACGCCCGGTACCCCACCCGGGCCGACCGCAGACTGCCCGCGGGCTGACAATGCCGGTGCTCCGTCCGTCCCCTAGCCGTGCCCATCAGAGGTCGCCGCCCGTCCCCTAGCCGTACCCCATCCGAGGTCGCCGCCCCGGCAGTCGGCACCCGTACCGAACTCACCGGACAGTATGTCCAGGCCCATGCCGTCCCCTATCTCCGCGTGTGTCCACTAACACGAATGACGTCACGCATGTGGGCGGAGCTATGGGCGGAGCCTAACGCACGCGGCAGTCCAAGCCGCCATATTTGAATTTATATTTTAATAGAATCTTGCCGATATTTTGGGTGAAGTCAATTTGTATGGATAGCTTGGTGACAGTTTAGCTGTACGAATAATAATTCATTATGGATGTGCGTATATTCGGCTTGGAATTGCGATGAAAGTTCCGCACCACATAGATTCGAACTCGGGACCTTTGGAATACTGCGCGGGCGCGCTAACCACTACACTACCGTGACCGCGCGGCAGCCGGCGGCAGGGAGGCTGCGGAGACATGAGGGACATTCAGGCTTTTGTGAAAAAAGCAAAAGATTTAGCGAAAAACACATAATAGATAACTTGCAGAAAATTGTCTACTCTTTCAAATAGGGTACTTAGCTTTGATATACTTTGTGCAGACTTCATTCTACAGTGCTTCAAAAATCGCTCATTTACATGAGGATTGAACGGGGCTTCGAGACTTGACTCCAACCTACCTTGATCCATCTCAAACCATAGGGTAAGGTGCCTAATTAGCGACCCTTTCCGATTTGCGACCTACCTCCCTACAGAAAAACTGGCAGGAGAAAACGGGGTAAAAACATCGTCAAAAGGTCAGCCATACTTTGGTTATCAAATTAAACTATTTTCCGGTTGTCGATGTTTCTGGTGGGACGTTTCAGGTGAGTTTAAATAAAAATGACGAGTTTCTTATCCAAAACGTGTGTGTTTGGGCCCTCTCTGATGAAAAGCGATGCATATTAGGATGATGCACCTTTTTTATTCTGAATCGACATTCCTTTTTTAATTCATTGCCGTTTTCCCATAGTGAATCGCTCAACTGTGCACAGCATGGCGGTTAAAAATGTGTCGCAACTCATATTTCCTATTTGCGCCTGACATGGTTGCAAATAGCTCAAGAAGGAAAAGAAAGGGGAGAAAAGAGAAATGAGAATGAGTTGTTGCTGAAGCTTGCAATGTGTGGCAGGGGATGCCAAATGTCCTCACCGACTGCAGGGGTGTCGAATTCAGCGCGGACCTCGAATATCATACAAGATAGCCCGCAAAAATTTGGGTTTCCGCCTTCTTTTCGCCTTCGGTGCATCACGTGATCAGTTTTTACTTACGTAAATGTGTTGGATAAACGTTCCTGTCCGAGTGATTGAGTGCTTTGCGTAAAGGTTACCTTTTTGAGGTCATATTTCATCTTTTCAGGCGTCGCATTTTTTTGCCATTTTTAGTATGGGGAAACCCATAGACTTATTAGCGACCCTCCCCGGTCGCTAATCGGGAAGAGTTCCCTATTAGCGTTTTTTGCAATGGTTTGCCAAAATGCTCACTACAAATATGTTAGTGAATATTGGGGCAGAAAATGACTATATTTTAATACAAAAATGAACGATCTCTCCGAAAATCAAGCCAATAACACAGTGGCACCCACAGAGCGTGAGCAATGACGGTTCAAATTAAGTGGGTCGCTAATTAGGCACCTTACCCTAATTTCCTTATTCAACGGAAAATAGCGACTATAAATGGGAAGGCTGAAGGATATGTCCGAGTATTTAGTATCTGGGGTCAAGATTGGGGATCTCCTCGGACCGAGTACAACGTAAACTGCACACCAGTAACCCGACGGGGCTAGGTTGGACATATGGGCGGGATACGACGAGAACTGCACACCAGTAACCCGTCGAGGCTAGGTTGGACATTTGGACGGGATACGACGAGAACTGCACACCAGTAACCCGTCGGGGCTAGGTTGGACATATGGGCGGGATACGACGAGAACTGCACACCAGTAACCCGTCGAGGCTAGGTTGGACATTTGGACGGGATACGACGAGAACTGCACACCAGTAACCCGTCGGGGCTAGGTTGGACATTTGGACGGGATACGACGAGAACTGCACACCAGTAACCCGTCGGGGCTAGGTTGGACATATGGGCGGGATACGACGAGAACTGCACACCAGTAACCCGTCGAGGCTAGGTTGGACATTTGGACGGGATACGACGAGAACTGCACACCAGTAACCCGTCGGGGCTAGGTTGGACATATGGGCGGGATACGACGAGAACTGCACACCAGTAACCCGTCGAGGCTAGGTTGGACATTTGGACGGGATACGACGAGAACTGCACACCAGTAACCCGTCGGGGCTAGGTTGGACATTTGGACGGGATACGACGAGAACTGCGCACCAGTAACCCGTCGAGGCTAGGTTGGACATTTGGACGGGATACGACGAGAACTGCGCACCAGTAACCCGTCGAGGCTAGGTTGGACATTTGGACGGGATACGACGAGAACTGCGCACCAGTAACCCGTCGGGGCTAGGTTGGACATATGGACGGGATACGGAAAAAGAAAAATTTTTGTCGGAAAAAGAATACCTACCACGCAGTTTGCAGAGGGCTGTACATTATATCTTTAGTCTTATTACCCAAATCCTATCCTGATATATATTATATATATATATATATATATATATATATATATATATATATATATATATATATATATATATATATATATATATATATATATATATATATTTACGTAAGCTACCGACGGAAATTTTTCGGAAAACTTTAACTGATTTCGGAACACATTAACCCGCGCCCCAGTGACGGTCTCAGCCAACTTCGCCATGGGGGGGGGGGGGGGCATATGTTACCACCCACCTCTAGCTAAAAAATTAAGAGTGCTAGAAAGACCCGGTAGAAAGCAGTCGATAGCTCTCAATGCGTACGTTTGAAAGTATTGAGTAATTTTTAATCTTAGAGCGATATTGGGGCCACCGGAGGTCATCGAAGGTCAACATTTGCCAAATGTCATTATATTTTTCAGAAAACATGCCGCTATCTCAGGAACTATGATAGCTAGAAAAACGCATGGAAAAGCAATCGATAGCTTTGGAACTCTATTTTGATAAGGTCATCATCAAAATTGACCTAAGGTCAACGGTTAAGCCTCCATAGGTCACAAACATTGTGAAAATAGCTGTTTTTGGATAAAACTTTTTTCACGAAAAAAAAACTTTTGAACCAGCGAAGATTAAAAATTGGCAATGGCACTATCGTGTTTCTCTCCTTCAGCCGCTTCAAAAATACATTTTTTACCTGGAAAGGTCAAGGTCAAACTTTGACCTCAGGTCAAAATCATGTGGTGACCCAAGTAGGTCATGTTGCATATCATTCGACTCGTCTCGATAAGACAAACACAATGAAGCCATCCCCAGCGTTCTATCTCTTTCCAATCGAGAGTTATTGGCAAAAAGCTCTTTGTAGCCTCAAATGACCTCAGATGACCTTTCTAGTCTATCAGCAAAAAGAAAAAAAAAACACCTTGGTCGTCACGGGTGGTCCAAATCATTGTGATTCTGAAATATTTGGACTGTTCCTATGCGTACACACGGATCTAGAGGCATTTTCATTTTCTCCATTGACTTATAATGTAGAGTCACGCCACTGGCCTGACCTTAGGTCACGTATATAAACAATCCGAGATATACAAATTATAGGTGTCCATAACATCATGCAACCCACCAAGTTCAAAACTTGTGGACTGTTCCAATGCGAACACACGGATCTATAGGCATTTTCATTTTCTCCATTGACTTATAATGTAGAGTCACGCCACTGGCCTGACCTTAGGTCACGTATATAAAAAATCCGAGATAAACAAATTATAGGTGTCCATAACATCATGCAATCCACCAACTTCAAAAGCTCTCTGACAAACACTGCAGGCTGGATGTGATTGCAATTTTTTAGGCTTGGTCAGTAACCTCGACCTGGTGACCTGACCTGACATGACCTGAGGTGAAAAAGTTAACACATTGTTCAAAATTGGTGTACAGCAAGCTACTCCAAGCGGCGCGCCGGTTTTTATTCACACGCAAAAAGCGCGACAAGGTGGTAACATATGCCCCCCCCCCCTGGGGCGAAGGTTAACTCGCACCCCAGTGGCGGTCTCAGCCAACTTCACCCTAGTCGGGGGGGGGGGGGCATATGTTACCACCCACCTCTAACTAAAAAAACTAAGAGGGCTAGAAAGACGCGGTAAGAAGCAGTCGATAGCTCTCAATGCGTACGTTTGAAAGTATTTCGGTTATTTTTCATCTTAAGGCAATATTGGGGTCACCGGAGGTCATCAAAGGTCAAAATTTGCGAAATGTCATTATATTTTTCAGATAACATGCATTTATCTCAGGAACTATGATAGCCAGAAAAACGTGTGGAAAAGCAATCGATAGCTTTTGAACTCTTCTTTTGATAACGTTATCATCAAAATTGACCTCAGGTCAACGGTTAAGCCTCGATAGCCCAAATATTGTGAAAATAGCTGTTTTGGGACAAAACTTTTTTAAAGAATAACTTTTCAACCAGCAAAGATGAAGAAATGGCAATGACATATCGTGTTTCTCTCCTTCAGCCGCTTCGAAACATTCTTTTTTAACTGGGAAGGTCAAGGTCAAATTTTGACCTCAGGTCAAGGTCACGTGGTGACCCAAATAGGTCATGTTGTATATCATTCGATGCGTCTCGACAAGACAACAAGACAAGTTTAAAACCTCTCTTACAAACACAACATGATAACAAACTTTTTTAGGCTTGGTCAGTTAACTTGACCTGGTGACCTGACCTGACATGACCTGGGGTCAAAAGCTTCACATATTGTCAAAATTGATGTAGAGAAAAATACTCTTCACACGCAAAAAAAAAAAACGCAACCGGATGGTAGCATATGCCCCCCCCCCACACACACACACACTGGGACGAAGGTTAACCCTCGCCCGCACATTGGGGGGATGGGGGTTGCCACCCCCTAGGTAGTCTTTCTGCTCTGCACTCAACATTTTTAGAGCTAGAAGCCTGATTTTTGGTATAGCTGCTTTTAGATCCTTTCTTGATGTCCACTGAAAATTTCAAGTTTCTGCGGTTTTTGGTTTTGGAGATATGACCTTGTTTTTCAGGTCATGTCATGACCCAAATGACCAATTCTCAAAATCTTGCGTTGGCTATGGGCCTTGTGAGCTTTTGACACC